AGCTTGTGACGGCCTGTGAAGGAGTGTGGGAAGTTGGGTGGGGAGGGACTTCAGTTTTCATAGACTCATTCATTTCTCTTTAAAGACTGCAAGTAAATATACAACCATACTGGCTCATTCTGGATTATGGTATATGGATAATCTTGTCTTATTTTTTGTACTTTTCTGTATTTTTAAATTTTCTCAAAAAGGGGTTGAGGGTGGGAACTGTACTTGTAGAAATGATATAACTCATTAATTCCCAGTCAGATACTAAACTTTTTATAGAAAATATTTCTAAAATTTTATCAACAATGAGTGGATGACTTGCTCTATGTAACATGAAATTATCTATTTTATTAAAATTAAAAACAATGCCAAATGTGCTTCTTTCCTTTTAACGTATGCACTATAATATTTATGTCCTGGGAGTTCTTAACATTTTACAACATTGAGCTTAAAAAATTTAGTTCTCATTAAACATTAGGGTACACAGCAAACTTCATTTTGTGTGTGTGTGTGTGTGTGTGTGTATAATTTTTTTTGGGGGGGCGGGGGGTCGGCCTGGGCGCTGTCTCTGAGCTCTTCAGCTCAAGGCGAGCCCTCTACCACTTGAGCCACAACGCCACTTCCGGTTTCTGTTGGTTAATTGGAGATGAGCATCATGGACTTTTCTGCCTGGGCTGGCTTTGAACCTTTTCTCAGATATCTGCTTCCTGAGTAGCTAGGATTACAGGCGTGACTCACCGGCGCCTGGTGCAAATGTTTTATGTTTGCAGTTGCATTCCAAGTATTTTGAAAATTTTTATTATTTTGTGCCAGTTTTTGGCCTAGACACTGTCCAAGGCTAGCCTTTCGCGAAAATAAACACTCAGGGGCAGCTTTCAGACCCTGTGTTAAACCTGGCACTAAATACAATAGTTGTCAGTAACCAAGCCATTAAAAGGCAATGAGGAAATTCATATTAAGGAAATTGTTCTGGAAAGGCTGTGTATGATTCCACATTGTAGGAAAGGTAAAAGTATGAGGTGTCACACCGAAGAATGCATCCAACAATTTGACAGTGACTGAAGGGCTTCGGTAGCAACAAACTGTTAAGGTGGGAATTTGGAGAGCTTTCACTGACAAAATTCCATCCAGCTACAGGTTTTGGACTTCGGTTCATGGCAGGGACTACACTCCCCAGCAGCCCTTGCGGCTCACGTTAACGGGCGTTCTGGACTACATTTCCCAGTATTAACCACGCAGTAACAGTTTCTTCAGGACAACATTTCTCAGGGAGAAGGACGACCTGGTAGTTCACGGTTTCCCTCTCTGGCTGGAGGCTGGCACTCGGGGAAAGTCTTTGCCTTGGTTGGCTTTGCTGCCCCAAGTCTCTTGAAATCGCTCCTTCAGTTGCCTGGTTTGGAGCTGAACACGTGGTGCTGCCTCGCAGCCGGTAGTTCCGGAGCCGCTCTTCCAGGCCTGGGACTCCAGAGCAGCCTCGGTGGGCTGCACCGGTCCAGGCAGCGGGCGGCCCGCGCGTGCAGCTCGTGTCCGGTGGGGTCGGCGGAGGTGGAACCGGAGTGGAGGCCCGAGAGACGGTGAGGGTGCGGGCCGGAGGGGACCATCTGCGACGCGGTGAGCGGTGTTTGAGACCGTTCCAGGCCGGTGCCCCACACGGAGGCGGGGCCTGGGTACGTTTGTGACGACACAGCTGGGTCAGAGTGCTTGTGACGTGTGTGGTGAGTTGGAGGGGGTGAGACCTCTTCAGTTCTGTGTCTGGGTTTGGTGTTGGTGGTAGTATTCTGTGGACCTTTGACTCTGCCTGCCCGTGTAGGAGTGGGTAGGACTTGAGCTGTGATGGGGTGGCGTGGGGAGGTGTCCGTTCAATGTTCCTAGGGTCTCGAACATTGGTCTTGTGACTGTGCAATGTTGCTTCCATGTGGTTACTATTTGTTAATGGATGTCGTTCAGGGGTGTGTGTGTGTGTGTGTGTCTGTGTGTGTGTGTGTGTGTGTGTGTCTCTGTGTGTGTGTCTGTGTTGTCGTCCCATTGGTGTTGCCCTTTCTGTAGCTGGATCTTTGAGCCGAGTGTGACAAGTGTCCACTGGACATTGTGCGGACTGTAGAAGTATAACTAACAAAGAAGAGTGGTCCAGAATCTTATTTCTGTGTTTTTGTTTTGTTTTTGCCAGTCCTGGGACTTGAACTCAGGACTTGGGCACTGTCCCTGAGCTGCTTTTTGCTCAAGGCTAGCACTCTACCACTTGAGCCACAGCGCCACAGTTATGACCTGAAAACAGCGAGACAATCCATCAAGGCACGGTTAAAGATAACAAATTTACACCGGAAAGGGGGCCTGCCTTGTCCTGGGCTAGATACCCAGAACCAAGAGCAGCCTCGACCACCAAACCTCCAAGCCCTGCCTTTATTAGTCGGTCTTCAAACCTCCAAACCTTAGGCCTCCAGAACTCCAAGCCTCCAAACTTCCAAATGGGAAGGCTTTTCTTTTTCTTTCCTTCCTCCTCCCCTGCAGACCTCTCCACAGGACTGTCCTGCTCTGCCTCTTGCCTGCCTTCTCCTCCTGCTCTCACTCTCTCTCTGCGCTCTCTCTACACTCCCCCCCTACTCTCACAGGACTGACGGTTTTCCCCCTAACGGTTTCCAACTTCCATTCATGCTCCTTCCCCAAGCTGCCCACTGTCCAATCACTTCTTGACAGCTCAGCATGTGGGGTTTGACGTGCCACCCCTCCAGCACACCACGCCCCTTTCAGCGCCCTTCCAGCAGTAAGTCCTGTGGCGCAGTGACATCAGCCCCTTGATGCTCCACTCCCTCCAGTCAGCCGGGCCACAGGGCCCTGTGATAATTGGGCCCTGCTGATTACCGGGGAGCCCCCATGGGTTATTACACCACTTCCAGCTTTTTCTGTTTATATGGTATTGAAACATTGAACCCAGGTCTACATTCATGCTAGGCACTCTATCACTGAGCCAAAATCCCATCCCCCAAGGTTTCATTTTAATGAGAATTTGCCAGTTTGAGTAACTGCTACCTTTCTGTACTGATTTCATTAAGAACTTTCTCTCTAGGATGGGTGCTGTTAAGAAAGGTCTGAGATGCTTGACAGTATCTTCCATCCCTGAAAAGATTTACATGCTTGGATAGAAAAATCCCAGTGTTTGATATTAAGTCAATAGAAATACATATGCATATACTAAAACACCTGAGCCAGAAAATATACAGCAGTATTTTTTATTACACAAAACTATAAAAAATACAAATATCCACCAACAGGATAAATAGAAGTATATTCTTAAAATGGAATAGTACAAAATGAAAATACACTACTGCCACATGCAATAATGTACAAATCTTTGAAATGTTGTGAAACAGCACAAAAATCCTAATGTATGATAAAAATACCTAACAAAGTTTAAAAGCATGCAAAACTTTATAAACCAGAGAAATGGGATCTTTGGGGCTATAATGAACTATAGTGTTTTGGGTTTTTTTGTTGTTGTTGTCGGTTGTGGGGCTTGAACTCTGGGCCTGGGCTCTGCCGTGAGCTCTTCAGCTCAAAGTGAGAGCCACAGTGCCACTTTCGGTTTGGTTTTCTCTTGTTTAATTGGAGATTAGAGTTCAGACTTTCCTGCGCAGGCTGGCTTTGAACGGAGATCCTCAGATCTCAGCCTCCTGAGTAGCTCGATTACAGGCGTGAGCCACCCTCGTTGGGCCCAACTACAGTTTTTTGTTTTGTTTTGTCCCTTGTGAGGCTTGAACTTGGCCTGAGTGGTGTCCCTGCGCTCTTTTGCTCAAAGCTAGTGTTCTAACTTTGAGCCACAGCTCCACTTCTGGTTGTTGAGTGGTAACTCGGAGATGAGTCTCACCGGGAGTTTTTCTGCCTGGGCTAGCTTTGAACTGTGATCCTCAGATCTCATCCAAAGTAGCTAGCATTACAGGCATGAGGCACTGGCACAACTACTGTAACACTGGCACCACCTGCACAACTACTGTTTATTATACAAAATGCAATGAGAAGTTGATTGTCAGGCATCAGTGGCTCATACCTGTAATCCTAGCTTCTCAGAAGTTTGAAATCCAAGTATCATGGTTTGAAGCAATATCAGAGAGACTCCTCATTTAACAACATTTAACAACCAAAAAAAGGCAGAAGTGGAGCTGTGGCTCAAGTGATACCAGCCTTGCTCACAAAAGTTCAAGGACAGGCTCTGAGTTCATGACAGGCACAAAAAAAAGAAAAAAAAACCAAACAGTTGATTGGGTGTTCAGTGGCTCATGCCTATACTCTTAGGATTAGATATAAAAGTGGTTCAGAGCCAGCCCTAGCATCAGAGACTATCTTCAATGACACTCTATCTTCAATGAGACTATTTTCAATGAACCACCAAAAAGGTGCAAGCAGAGCTGTGGATCAAGTGGTAGAATGAAAAAGCTAAGGGATAGTGCTCAGAGCCTGAATTCAAACCCCAGTACTAGCACATACACAGACCAAAACAAGATGTTTTAAAAAATGTGGGAATACTGATTATCATTTCAAAATATGTTATATGTTTTTTTTCTTTTTACACTGGAGCCATGCCTTCAGCCCTTTGTTTTGCTTTCTTTTTTTTTTTTTTAACTGCCAATGGGATTGAACTCAGCTCAGGGTTTCCAACTTGCTAGGAAGGTGCTCATATATTTACATATATGTTTTTTTAAGCGAAGCAATTGAATTAGTAGGAACAGTTAAAAGTAAGCTTTGGGCTGGAAAGGTGGCTCTGGTAGAGTGCTTGCCTTAAATGCATGAGGCCTTGGCTTTGATTCCTCAGCACCACATAATCAGAGAAAGCCAGAAGTGGTGCTGTGGCTCAAGTGGTAGAACACTAGCCTTGAGCTGAAGAGCTGAAAGACAGTGCCCATGCCCAGTGTTCAAGCCCACAACTGACCCCCCCAAAAATAAAAAATAAGCATCATAAGTGATCAACTTCAATTAATTTTATATGTTAGCAATCAGTAGTTAAATGATATGGAACATGATTAAATTACATTAACATGTTTAATCATTATCTATTGAAAACTAAAGGTTTACAGTCATCTTAGACTTCACACAAAAGATCATTCATTGATTTCCACATCTTCCCCGTTATGAGCTTTCTGATGGACCGTGAGGTTTCTCTTATAGCTGAAGGACCTGGCACACTCACTGCACACATAGGGCTTCTCACCTGTGTGAGTTCTTTGATGGACAATGAGGTTTGTCTTCTGCCGAAAGCACTTTCCACATTCATTACATTTATATGGTTTCTCTCCTGTGTGAGTTCTTTGATGATGAATGAGGTAGGACTTCCTGCTGAAGGCTTTTCCACAGTGAGGACATTCATAGGACTTCTGGCCTGTATGTATTTTCTGATGTACAGTGAGGGTTGCCTTCTGGCGAAAGGACTTCCCACATTCATTACAGATATAGGGTTTCTCTCCTGTATGAATTCTCTGGTGCAGATTGAGATTTGTCTTCTGACTGAATGATTTCCCACAATCATTACATTCATATGGCTTTTCTCCTGTGTGAGTTCGGTGATGATCAATGAGGTAGGATTTCATTCTAAAGGCTTTCCCACAGTGAGGACATTCGTAAGACTTCTCCCCTGTATGTGTTCTCTGATGTGCCACCAGGGTTGTCTTCTGGCGGAAGGACTTTCCACATTCACTACAAATATAGGGTTTCTCCTCATTGTGGGTCTTTTCATGAAGAGCAAGGGTTGTCTTCTGAGAGAAAGCTTTCCCACATTCATTACAAATGTAGGGCTTTTCCCCTGTATGGATCCTCTGGTGTACAGTAAGGTTTGCCTTTTGGTGAAAGGACTTCCCACATTCTTTACAGATATAAGGTTTCTCCCCAGTGTGAATCCTCTGATGTAAAGACAGGGTTGTCTTTTGGCGGAAGGATTTCCCACAGTCATGGCACTCATATGGTTTCTCTCCTGTGTGTGTTCTCTGGTGACGAATGAGGTGTGATTTCAATCTGAAAGCATTTGTACACTGTGGACATTCATATGACTTCTCCCCTGTGTGTGTTCTTTGATGATCTGTGAGGGCTGTCTTTAGGCGGAAGGATTTACCACAATCATTACAGACAAAGGGTTTCTCTCCTGTGTGAGTTCTCTGGTGGTCAATGAGGTAGGCTTTCCTTCTGAATGAATTTCCACACTGATGACACCGATAAGGCTTTTCTTCTGTGTGAATTCCCTGATGGAGAATCAATACTGACTTCCTGCAAAAGGATTTCCCACATTGAGTGCACATATGTTTTCTTTCAATATTGGTTGCTCTTCTCTCTCTATTATATAGTCTGTTATGTGGGTGTAAACCTCCCTTTTTAAGGAATGTTTTCTCACAGTCATATGCAAATGACTGGGCCACTGTCATTTTCTTCTGATACTGTGGAAACGTGTCATTATGACAAAAAGCCCTGCCACTATGATTATGAGACTTGACTTCAGAATGAGTTATCTCTCCCTTAGTATAAATGGATGATTTCCCATACCTGTTAGACTCAGTAAACCTCTTTCTTTCAGGACTTAGGTTGCTGATTAGTTCTGAGACATTTTCCAGAATCTTTCCATGAGAGGTAAATTCTGGAGGTAGAGCTTTTGAATGGGCAGGCTTTCCCACTAGAGGAAAGGTCTTTTCATATATGTTACTCTTGTCCTTCATCATTCTTTTGTGGTTAATGCATATAACTGATCTAGAATAGTTATGTTGGTGTTCCTTGAATTCCATTAAAAAGTCTTCAGCTTTCCAGTTTTCTTCTAGGGAAAGACAAACAAAACCTCTGTCCTTTAATATGAAAAGAATAAAAATAAGCAATGACTACTACCGATACTTCTGTACCCACCAAATTTCACAGAGAAATAAACCAAGAAGTTATAGAATAGTGGAAGATGGATGATTGGAAAAGCAGATTCAGAAACAATGAACTGACTCTGGCAAGTCCATTAAACTGTGAATTAAGAGGACAAAAAAAAATTAGAAGAGGGCTGGGAAGGTGGCTTAGCGGTAGAGCGCTTGCCTTGTATGCATGAGGCCCTGGGTTCAATTCCTCAGCACCACATAAGCAAAAAAAAAAAAAAAAGCCGAAAGTAGCACTGTGGCTCAAGTGGTAGAGCACTAGCCTTGAGGTGAAGAGCTGAGGGACAGCGCCCAGGCCCAGAGTTCAGGACCACGACCGGACCCCCCCCCAAAAAAAAAAATTAGAAGACATGTTTATTCAGAGAAATATTTGAGGCAGAAAGGAGATCATCTATGTTTTTTGTTTTTGTTTTTTGGTCGGTCATGGGGCTTGAACTCTGGGCCTGAACGCTGTCCCTCAGCTCTTCAGCTCAAGGCTAGCACTCTACCACTTGAGCCACAGCACCACTTCCAGTTTTCTAATGGTTTATTGAAGATAAGAGTCTCATGGACTTTCCTGCCTAGGCTGGCTTTGAACTGTGATCCTCAGATCTCAGCCTCCTGAGTAGCTAGGATTACAGGCGTGAGCCACAAGCGCCTAGCTAAAGATCATCTATAATTCTACTCCTGTGTCCTTACTCTGGGAAAGCACAGGTATGCTATTCCAAACACCTCCCTTTTCCATTCAGCCATTGCTGGCCAACTAGTCTTTTAAGTACCAATTTCCTGGAATTTAGGAGTACAATTCTATGTTCTAGCTTCTTCTGATCTACCAAGTAGCTAGAGATTACTTTCTCATACAGTGGGAAAACTAGCAAAATACTTCTAATGGGAACTTTAGAATATAAATATACATATAAATATGTATTTCGGTGGTCCAGGGGTTTGAACTCAGACCTTGTGTTTGCTAGGCAAAGTCTCTTAGCATTCTTATTGTTTGAACTATTATCCCCACTCCTCTTGCTTTAGTTATTTCTCAAATGGGGTTTCAAGGTTTTGCCTTGGTGGAGCCTGGACTGTTGGGAGCCCTAAAGGGAGTCTATCTGCATGATAGGCTTGACTGTCTCACTGGAACATCAGGAGGCTGTTCACAGAATCTGGTCTTTTCATCCTGCCCCAAACAAAGACCAGGTAGCTGCTATCGACCACCTTTTCACACTGCCCTAAGCAAACATCCTACAGCTGCTACGGCCAATGAAAAAGCTTCCTTATTCTAAGCATATAAATACCCCTGTGTGAAAAATAAAAATTGGCAGCTTGATCAGAATCCTTGTCTTGCTGTCATTCTTCGTGTCTCTTGTCCCTTCATTCCTTCTCGCTTAGGTTCATTGCCCTGGTTGGAGTCCTGCGGGTCGGGACACTGGACCACAGTCCTATTTATGATTTCTGTGAAGCTGGAATGAGAAGTGTGCATCTACAGTTGAGATGGGGTCTTGTGAAGATTGGACTTGTACTTCAGTCATTCTGATTTCTGCTTCTCAAGTTGCTAGGATTACAGTTGTGAACTACCATACCCAGCTATTATGCCTTTGGAGTAGATGAGAGAGATTATTTTCCCTATAATTCTATGCATAATTAGTGAAGTAATGATGGAACACCTAAAACTAGTTTCATAAAGAGGATATTCAGAGGATCTTATCTTGGGGGAGAAAATCTTTTGTGTGTGTGTGTGTGTGTGTGTGTGTGTGTGTGTGTAGGTCATAGGATTTGAACTCTGAGCTTAGGCGCTGTCCCTGAGCTCTTCAGCTCAAGGCCAGCGCTCTACCACTTGAGCCACAGCGCTACTTTGGTTTCGAGTGGTTTATTGAAGATAAGAGTCTCATGGACTTTCCTGACCAGGACGGCTTTGGCTTTGAACCATGATCCTTAGATCTCAGCCTCCTGAGTAGCTAGGATTACAGGCATGAGCCACTGGCGCCAGCTTTTGGAGGAGAAAATCTTTAAGTATAAACTATATATAATCAAGTATAAACTATATATAATCAAGTATAAACTATATATAATCAGGCATCAGCTGGGTGCTGGTGGCTCATGCCTGTAATCCTAGCTACTCAGGGGGCTGAGATCTGAGGACCTCGGTTCAAAGCCATCCCATCCGGGGCAGGAAAGTCCGTGAGACTATCATCTCCAATAAGCCATTAGAAAACCGTGAGTGGCTCTGTGGCTCAAGCACTAGAGTGCTTGCCTTGAGCTGAAGAGTGCAGGGACAGTGCCCAAGCCCAGAGTTCAAGCCCCACAACCGGCCAAAACAACAACAACAACAAAAAAATCAGGCATCAAATTCTATGAACATATCCAAGAACTCTGTGTATGCGTATGCATACACTACTGCCAATAGATAGCAAGGAGTTGAGAAAAAAAGATTCAAGGAAAAGTTCATAGAAAATAAATCTTGAGAGTAAAAGGAAGAACACTACATAACGTGAAACATCTTTGTAGGAAAACACTACAAAAAAGCATGAATCCATTTTTACATGAAAGAAACTTACCTAAGCTGGCATGACCTGTAAATGTTGTCCATGGCTCTTCCCCTCGCTCTAGTTTGAGGATCACATCAGGTTTGGTCAGGTCACACCCTGATAAGGGATAAGAAGACTTTTTAGCTGGTTAAGGTTCAATATCTCAAAGATGGCCAGGTATTGGTGGTTCCTGCCTGTAATCTTAGCTACTGAGGAGTCTGAGATCTGAGGATTGTGGTTTGAAGCCAACCCCAGCAGGAAAGTTTGTGAGATTCTTCAGGTAACCAGAAAGAAGCTGGAACTGAAGCTGTGGCTCAAATGCTGCCCCTTAAGTAAAAAATAAGGGACAGAAGTCAGGCCTAACTTCAAGCTCCAGTACTAGCACTCTCCCTCCCTCCAAAAAAAAAAAATCTGAAAGATAAGTAGATGTAGCTGGGATATAGCTAATCAGAAGAGTTAGCAGAGATGGAGTTAGATGTTTGGGTAATGTAGATGATGGTTTTCATTTGTTATAAAAATAAACTCAGGCCGGGTGCTGGTGGCTCACGCCTGTCATCCTAGCTACTCAGGAGGCTAAATATGAGGATCATGGTTCAAAGCCAGCCAAGGCAGGAAAGTACTTGAGACTCTTATCTCCAATAAAACACTAGAAAGCCGGAAGTGAGGTCTGGGAAGGTTTGCTCAGTGGTAGAGTGCTCGCCTTGCATGCTTGAGGCCCTGGGTTCGATTCCTCAGCACCACATAAGCAGGGAAAAAAAAGCCGGAAATGGCACTGTGGCTCAAGTGGTAAGAGTGCTAGCCTTGAGCTGAAGAGCTGAGGGACAGCACCCAGGCCCAGAGTTCAGGCCCCATGATTGGACCCAGAAAAAAAAAAAAAGAAAGAAAGAAAACCAGAAGTGGCACTATAGCTCAAGGGGTAGAGCACTTGCCTTGAGCTGAAGAGCGCAGGGACAGCACCCAAGCCCAGAGTTCAAGTCCCACCAACGAAAAATAAACAAACAAACAAACAAACTCAGGACTGGGAATGTGGTGTAGTGGTACAGTGCTTGCTTAGCATGCATGAAGCCCTGGGTTTGATTCTTCAGTACCACATAAACAGAAAAGGCTGGAAGAGGCACTATGGCTCAAGTGGTAGAGTGGTAGCCTTGAGCAAAAGAAGCTCAGGGACAGTGCACAGGCCCTAAGTTCAAGCCCCAGGTCTGGCAAAAAAAATAAAATAAAAAGTAAACTCAGCACCAGGTAAGTGAAGACAATCATCCTTTTTAACTGAAAGGAACGTATCACTTTTTCACCTCTGAAACTCAAATCATACTAGGAGAGAGAATGAATGCTGAAAGAGTAATCAAGAGAATCTCTCACCAGGTGTGGTGGTAATATCTGTTGCCCTAGCTATCAGGACGTATAGGAGGAGAGAGCTGGAAAACTGAGTGTTTGCGACCAGTCTGAGAAAAATAGTAAGACCCCATTTCAAAACAAAGTACAAATAACAGGACTGGTGTGTTCAAGTATTAGGAAGGTTTGCCTAGCCTGTGTTAGACCCTGATCCCAAGTTCCACACACACAAATAAAAACACTTTTCTGCCTGGGAAGAAAGTCCCTTTGAGACTCATCTCCAATTACCACTCAAGATCTGGAAGTGGTACTGTGGCTCAAGTGGGAGAGTGCCAGCCTTCAGCACAAAGAGGTTCAGAGACAGCTCCTAGGCCCTGAGTTCTGGCACCACAATCAACAAGAACAACAAATTTCTTACCCACAGAGATGAGGTGGCAATAGTTTTCCAACATCACCTCCATGTATAGAGTCTTCTGAGCAGAATCTAAGTGCTGCCACTCCTCCTGAGTAAAGTCCACAGTCACATCCTTAAAGGACAGGGGTCTCTGTAGTGCAGGATTAGAATTGAAGATAGAACAGGGTGACTACACTTTGGGGACCACTCTTGGCCTGCTAGTTGGAGACATTTGATGAAAACTTGTATAGGAAGCCTGGCGTAGGTGGCTCACGCCTATAATCCTAGCTTGTAAGGAGGCTGAGATCTGAGGATCAGAGTTCAAAGCCAACCCAGGTAAGAAAGTCCCTGAGACTCATCTCCAGTAAACCACCAGAAAACCAGAAGTGGTGCTGTGTATCAAGTGGTAGTGCGCTAGCCTTGAGCTGAAGAGCTGAGAGACAGCACTCAGGCCCAGAGTTCAAGCCCCACGACTGACAAAAATAAATAAATAAAAGCCATAGATGCAAAGAGGTTAAAAGGACAGGAAAAGACACAATTTTCTACTTAGCATTGGAAAGCTGGGGTGGGTAGAGATATGTTAGCACAGACTTTGAGATTGTGGATGTAGCTCAGTGTAGAGTGCTTTACTTAGTTATGAATCAAGAAAATATAATTGCTGAAATGTTGAGTGAACTCCTAGATAGTATCCTGCAAACCCTCTAGTTAAATAGATTAGGAAAAACAGCAGTATATAAAAAAGATCAACAGTACATCCTACATATACTAGATAACAAGGACATATAAAAAACTTAAAGATTAACTGAAACCTCTTTGTACAACTAAACAATAAAATAAATGAAGATAACAAATTAAGACAGTGAAGCAGCGCTGGTGGCTCATGTTTGTAATCCTAGCTATTCATGGGCTGAGCAGAAAAGTTCACAATTATCAACCATCAAAATGAAGGTGTGGCTCAAATAGTTTGTTAGCTGAAAGTACAAAGGCCATGGCAAGGGCTTGAGGCCCTAGTTCAAACCCTAGAACCAAATACAAAATTAAATGAAATAAAAACCTAGGAACAAATCTGTAATACAATCAATGTACCAGGAAAGATGGAACTGGAAGGCCACAGATTTTTAGGAACTATGACTAAGACTAAAGGAGCACAACTAGGATTAGAGTAGAACTAGGAGTAGAACTAGGATTCTCGTGTCTTTGTGCAAGTTAAGGCCTCAAAGCCTGGAGCATTAGCTAATAGCACTCCAAGTTTTACCTCCATCTTCACTGAGATCTGTTGCTAAGACAAAGGCCCATGTCTTTTTACATTTTATTTGCATAAAACAGGTAAATTTGCTAATTTATTTTTATCAATTCAAGGAAATATATTTTTATCCTAGCATAGTTTTTGGAAGAGACTGAGTAAGGAAAAAATGAAGACCAGTTTTCTGAACGGGAAGATTGCTGAGGATTTAGGACAAGAAAAGCAAATACCCAAATTGCCTTTAACAAAACAAAACCAAGAATCTTTCACAAAGGATAACTATCACCTTACCTGAGCCATCGTTTTGAGATCTGCAAGAGATGACCAGCCTTGCCTTTGGGCTCCTCTTTAGAAAAGGGGCAGTTCCTACAAGGGCAAAGCCAAACCAGGAGAGAAACCACATGAGACTACAAGCACCTTATGCCTTTCTTGTGACTTACAGTTAACCTCAGTTTAAATTACCTCTGCTGGGGGCGCTGGGGGCTCACGCCTGTAATCCTAGCTACTCAGGAGGCTGAGATCTGAGGATCGCAGTTCAAAGCCAGCCTGGGCAGGAAAATCTGTGAGACTCATCTCCAATAAACCACTCAGAAAAGCGAAGTGGCGCGCTGTGGCTCAAGTGGTAGAGTGCTAGCCTTGAGCTGAAGAGCTGAGGGACAGCACCCGGGCCCAGAGTTCAAGCCCCATGACCGACAAAAAAAACCTGTCCCTGGGCTGGGAATGTGGCTTAGTGGTACAGTGCTTGCCTAGCATGCATGAAGCCCTGGGTTTGATTCCTCAGTACCATATAAACAGAAAAAGCTAGAAGTGGCTCTGTGTCTCAAGTAGTAGAGTGGTAGCCTTGAGCAAAAGAAGCTCAGGGATAGTGCCCAAGCCCTGAGTTCAAGCCCTACCACTGGCCAAAGAAACAAAAAAACCTGCCTCTCCCTCAATGAGAAACATTACTGACATGAACATTTTTCTGTTTGCCTAATAGATATAAATTGTGATTCTAATTTTTAGTTTTCTAAGATAAGATAGCATCTTGTCTCTAGTTTTTTTTTTTTGTTTTTTTTTGGGGGTCCGGTTGTGGGGCCTGAACTCTGGGCCTGGGCGCTGTCCCTCAGCTCTTCAGCTCAAGGCTAGCGCTCTACCACTTGAGCCACAGTGCCACTTCCAAGCTTTTTTCTTTTTGCTTATGTGGTGCTGAGGAATCGAACCCAGGGCCTCAGGCATGCAAGGCAAGCGCTCTACCACTGAGCCACCTTCCTAGCCTTGTCTCTAGTTCTTGACTGTCAACAGGCAATCTGGTTTTTAAAATTAGGTTATTTTCTATTAGTACTATATCTTTTATAAAAGAAGAAAATTTTTGTTTATGGTATAAGTTAGAAGTAAGTTTTTATAGTTTCTCATGTGACTTTTTCTCATGAAAAACTACAAAGGATAGAGCAAGTCCTTGAATTTGACGCCCAAAGCTGCAACAAGATAGGTGGGTTTTTAAGATATTTAGGAGCTAAGGATATAGCTCAGTAGTAAAGTCTTTGTTTACTATGTATAATGGCCCAAGATCAATCCCTAGCACCAAATGAACAAATTTAAAAAATTGTTTGCTCCTTGGATTAGTGCCAATAATCTGTTCTATACTTCCACCTTCCAGCAAAACCACTATCTTAGCCAGGTGGTGCAGGTGGCTCACACCTGTAATCCTAGCAACTCAAGAAACTGAGATTTAAGGATCATGGTTCGAAGCTAGCCTGGGCAGAAAAGTCTCCAGGAGACTCTTACTCCAATTAACCACTCAAAAAACGGAAGTGGCACTATGGTTCAAGTGGTAGAGCACTAGCCTTGAGCACAAAGAGGCTCAGGGATAGTGCACAGGCCCTGAGTTCAAGCCCCACAACGGACTAACAAAACAACCCTCAAACTCCCTCACCCCCCCCCCCAAAAAAAAAAACTAACTAGGGCTAGGAAGGTGGCTTAGCGGTAGAGTGCTTGCCTAGCATGCATGAAGCCCTGGGTTCCATTCCTCAGTGTCACATAAACAGAAAAAGCCAGAAGTGGTACTGTGGCTTAATTGGTAGAGTGCTAGCCCTGAGCAAAAGAAGCTAGGGACAGTGCACAGACTCTCAATTCAAGCTCTAGGACTGGCAATAAATAAGAAAGCTCAGGAGCTGGGAAGGTGGCTCGGTGGTATTACAGGCATAAGCACTGGCACATGGCGAGAAGACCATGAAGCCATGGATGGAGGCTGTTTGTGTTGTTTTGGATCCTATCCAAGAAGAGTGACTGTATAACTGAGATCCATCAGAACAGGTGGGCAGTGCATGCTGGGAACAGTGGGTGGAGGAGACACTGTGCCCATGACAAGGGAGGTATATCTGCAGGTTCCCAGAAGTAGGTTCCCAATACAACTTCCCAATAGCAAGTTCTCAGAAGGTTAAAGGCAGGACTTATACATTACAGCATCACCAGTTCTGTTGACTTCAACTTGTCCTGATTTTGGATTTTTCTCTTTCCCAGTACCTAATCCATTGGAGCTGGAGACTACTCACCTATAGGAGTAAGGAGGAGAGAAAACTGAGGTTTGAGAATTAAGAGAAAATATGATCATGCAAATATACCCTTTCACACCACAGGCTTTTAAAACAAGTTTACTTTTTATAATGAACACTTTAGTCAGCTAAGTGATTATTGCAACATTATCTTTCCGTGTAAGTATCTGAAATGCTTTAAAATTTTTTTAAATTGTGTAAAGGGTTTTTTGTTTTGCTTTTTTTTTCTTTTGGTCAGTCTTGGGGCTTGAACTCTGGGCTTGGGCGCTGTTCCTGTGCTCTTCAGTTCAAGGTAAGCACTCTACTGCTTGAGCCACAGCGCCACTTCCGGTTTTCTAGTGGTTTATTGGAGATAAGAGTCTCAAGGACTTTCCTGCCCGGGCTGGCTTTGAACTGCGATTCTAAGATCTCAGCCTCCTGAGTAGCTAGGATTACAGGTGTGAGCCACCAGTGCCCAGCTAAGGTGATTTTTTTTTGGGGGGGTGGGGGTGGGGGTGGGGGTGATGGTGGTAGGCCTGGGCCTGGGCGCTGTCGCTGAGCTCTTCAGCTCAAGTCTAACACTCTACTACTTTGAGCCATAATGCTACTTTCTGGTTTTCTGGTGGTGAATTGGAGATAAGTCTCATGTACTTTCCTGCCTAGGCTGGCTTTGAACTGTGCTCCTCAGACCTCAGCCTTCTGAGTAACTAGGATTACAGGCGTGAGCCACTTGTGCCCAGCTGAAATTTTTTTTTCAGTATTATTTCAAGGGGCTGGGAAGATGACTCAGTGGTATAGTGCTTGCCTTGCATGCATGAGGCCCTGGGTTGAATTCCTCAGCACCATATAAGCAGAAACAGCCAGAAGTGCTGCTGTGGCTCAAGTGGTAGAGTGCTTACTTTCTGCTGAAGAGCTCAGGAACAGTGCCCAGGCCCAGAGTTCAAGCCCCACGACTGGGGAAAAAAAGAATGTCTTGAGCTGGGGACTGGTGGCCCATGCTGTAATCCTAGCTACTCAGGAGACTAGAAATCTGAGGATTTGTTTGAAGCCAGAATGGGCAGAAAAGTCTGTGAGACTCTCATCTCCAATTCATCACAGAAAAAGCCAAAAGTGGCTGTGATTCAAGTGGTAGAGTGCTAGCCTTGAGCAAAAGGTGCTCAGGGACAGTACTCAGACCCAGAGTTCAAGCCCCATGCCCAGCAGAAAAAAGAAATAAAGAATAAAGAATGTCGAGTCAGGTATATTGCAGTATATCCCTATCATCCCAGCACTGGGTAGAGACAGAAGGATCACGTGTTTGAGGCCAGCCTGGGATATATACTAAGATCCTGTCTAAAGAAGGAAAAAAAAAAAGCCTAAGAAATCATTGAAAGGGAGGAAATGTGACTTCAAACGAGTTTGGGGAGTGTCTGTTGTTTTAATGTGTGTTCCCAATGGTAATTCATTCATTTCTGCTTATCAGTCAATATGGGTTTCCCATATATAATGCTACAATATGAAAATCATTTTAGCTGCCCCTCTTCATCACAGAAACGCTTATTTTACTTGTCCAAATGTCACAAACAGCACCGGCATAAACAAGGTCCAATACCGACAGCATCTAAACGAGGCACCCCTGGCCGGTCGGCACCAGCTCTGCGTCTCAGTGGCAGTGAAGTGGCCACTCTCCGTGGGCCGTACTCACACTGTCACGGTGGCTTCACCGCCACGCCCGCGCGGGCTCGCAGGTCCCGGTCACGCGCCGGCGGCCTCGGTCACGCAGACCGCGCGCGGTGTGTCCCACGCCGCAGGAAGTGGCCCTCTTCTCCCAGCACACAAGGACGGGCACCACCGGGCACCGCAGCCGAGTGCCCAGCTGCCCGCACCCCGAGGGGCACAAGAAAACTCCCCCCGGCCGAGCCCTCGCCAGCCCCGGCCGCGTCCCCGTCCCCAGGGCGATGCTCGCGCTGCTTTCCTCCGCCGAGCTTCTCCGCGTCTTCGCGTGGAGGCTGTGGCTCTCCTCCGGCCCAGGCCCCTTTTCCCAGCTCGCCTTCCGCAGCCCAGGCTCCAACTTCCCGCCTCCCGGGCAGGACGTCCCAGCCTCTGCCCCCTTGGCGGCGACGAGACTGGCGGTCCAGCAGCCCACGCCTGCGGGGCCTACCCTCCCAGAAATCCCCGGGGGTGTGGGGTGGGTGGGACGCGGCGTTTCTCCACGCCGTTAGCTACGGATGCGCGCGCGCGCGCGCGCGCGCTGCCTCTACATCCGGGCTTCTAGGGTCTCGGACTACACTTCCCAGAGACCTCCGGGCCTCTTTTGAACCTGGACGGCGGTTTCCCTTCCAAGTTCTACTTGTCAGGTTGGGAATGTTGCTTTCTACGTTACTGGAGACGAGACGCGTCGCCAGCGGGGCTCAGGCCTGTGAATACCTGAGGAGGAGACGCGTGGGGACCCAGCACTGCCAGCTTGTCACGGTGCCGCCACGGCCTCCCGTCATGGGAGACGTCTCGGTTTCTTGGAGAAGGGATCTTGTTATGCAGAGCTAAGCCAGCACAGCATCCTGCCTTTGCCTCCCAAGGGCTAGCTTGCGCCCCCATGCTGGCGCTAAAGGAAGCTTATAATTTAGTGATATGAACTAGGTCGTGCGGAAAGCTTCCTTCTCACTTCTGCTGTTCTAGGTTTAAATTTGGGACTGAGGAGGTTGTCTACTGAAGGAATGTTTTCCTGAAAGTGTATCTGTCTAGGAAGCCTTCCATCAATACATATGTTGACGAGAGTCGTTTTGAAATGAAGCACGGCTTGATTTCTCTTTGTCAGGGCACCCCGGCCCCCAGTGTCTAGCTTGGTGTTTAATACACGGGGTATTAGTGGTGAGTGCCCTCCTCTGTGCCAGTTGTAGGTTCACTTGTTTAATGGAATTTTGTGTCCTTGAATGACCCTGCTGCTTTTATGTCTGTCACAGGACCTGAAATCAAACTATGGGCCACTGTCCCTGCCCTCTTCTGCTCCAGATTAGTGCTCTATCACTCTGAACCACCATGCCACTGCCTGTTTTCTAGTGGTTGGAGGTTAGAGTCTCACGGAGACTCCTGTTCGGGCTGGTTTTGAAGTACAATCCTCAGATCTCAGCGTCCTGAGTAGCAACCGGTGGGTGGCTGCTGCTTCATTTTCCCTCCAGGTTTATAATCTTATGGATTCCAGTTGCAAAGAACTGACCACCAAAAGAGGTACCCGCCTAGAAGTTCTGATTCTGGGAGAATTTTCCACCACTGCTATTATAAGCTTATTCACCCCCACTTGGGTTGACAGTCCCCACCCTGGGTCCCTTGCAAGCCAGGCCTGGCCCTAGTTGTCTATTCTCACCAGCTTCGGGTGCATCAGTAATGGAGTCTGGATACTAGTCAGTCTCACGCTGGTTCAAGTGTGTGATCACAAGGTGCCAACTATAGAATGTATTGTCTCTGCTCCAAGATGTTTCCCCTGGCTACATGACAGCTATAAGATATATTGGTTTTGCTACATGCTAGATACGTATTGTCTCTGTGATGGGATGTTTTCCCTGGCTGCGAACCAGCTATAGAATGTGCTGCCCTGGCTGTGGGATATCTCCGGTGTCCATCTGTGATTATAAAACTTTCCAGCCCTCCAGCTCCTTCTTTTGCCCTCAGACTCCTGTCACTATATCTATCTCTAAGGCTGCGAGAACAGTTTGCTACTCTCTATCCCACAAGAGATAGCCTGTCAGCCTCTACTGACAGTAAGCACTTCTTTCTCCTACAAGACTGTGTGTCGGAATGGTTCTCTGGGTCGGTGCTTACAGCTATCCTTTGGAGATATCCCAGCTGAGCACCAGTGGCTCACGCTTGCAATTCCAGCTACTCAGGAGGCTGAGCTCTTCAGTGGAAGCCAGCCTGAGCAGGAAACTCTGTGAGACTCTCCAGTCAACCACCAAAAACCAGAAGTGGAGCTGTGGGTCAAGTGGTAGAGTGCTATGAAACTCTTTCCTCAGATTTGAGTATTATAGGCATGAGCCATCAGCATCCAACTTTACTTATGCTTTTTCAGTAATTTAAAATATTCCTTTCCCTTTAGAATATATCATGCTGTGAGGTTAATTGTTTAGAAGTATTTACCAAAGCTGGTTAAACATACACATGTCTTAGGATCCAGCAGTTCCACACTCTTAAGTTTACACAATAGTGCAAGCAGAAGACAAGTATACGCTTAGAAGCATTATTATGACCTGAATGTAAACAACATCAAAGTCCATCAACAGTAGAACAGATCGCTATATACTCTTCTAATGGAATTATTTACAGAATGAAAATGAATGATAAGTAATATACAGAATATTTTTTGATTATAAATACTATACCAGATGAAAATAAATGAACTTCTGGCACATGCATTCACAGTTAAACATATCACAATGAATGACACCTATTATGAAAGAACACTTAATACATCATTGTAAAATTTACATAATAGTTATATTACATAAAACTAATAGGTCAAAATTGTGTTCACTTTGAGGATTAACAATTTTTTTTTTTGTCGGTCATGGGGATTGAACTCGGCCTGGGTGCTGTCCCTCAGCTCTTCAGCTCAAGGTGAGTGCTCTACTACTTGAGCTACAGCACCACTTCCACAAGTTTGTAAAGAGACATTTGTAAAGAGAAGTACAAGTTCCCATTTCCTTTCTTCATAGTGAGTCCATGGATCTCAAGCAGTTGGCCAGCTGCTTGTTATAGTCCACCAAAAGCTATGCACTAAAAGTAAAAACAGGGCTGAGAAGGTGGCTCAGTGGTCGAGCGCTTGCCTTGCATGCATGAGGCCCTGGGTTTGATTCCTCAGCACCACATAAGCAGAAACAAAAAACCCAGAAGTGGCGCTGTGGCTCAAGTGGCAGAGCGCTAGCCTTGAGCTGAAGAGCTGAGGGACAGCGCCCAGGCCCAGAGTTCAGGCCCCACAACTGGACCCAAAAAAAAAAAAAAAAGTAAAAACAATTTTATGTGTTTGTAGCAATTTAACAGGTTACATATTAAGCTTTTATATTCTAAGTGTTTTGTCTTTTATCAAGTGTTTGTGTGTGCATGTAGTTGTTTTACAAATTAGCAAGCAGTAAATATGTGGTACAGTATTTTAAGCCACTGAAAATTATTATACTTGCAAGCAGCAGCAGGTACAGGTTTCACTATGATGTAAAATGGTTTTTTTTTTTTGTTTTTTTTACAAAAGTGTCATGATTTACTGAATCCTGAGACTTTGTACCTTGTGAGTTTTCTGGTGGACAATGAGATTTGACTTACAACTGAAGAACTTCCCACATTCTTTACATTCATATGGTTTCTCTCCTGTGTGTGTTTTCTGATGTCGAATAAGGTTTGATTTCCTACTGAAGGCTTTCCCACATTGAGTACATCCATTGGACTTTTCTCCTGTGTGTATTCTGTGGTGAACTGTAAGGATTGCCTTCTGGCGGAAGGACTTCCCACACTCATTACAAATGTAGGGTTTCTCCCCTGTGTGAATCCTCTGATGGAGAGTGAGGGTTGTTTTTTGGCAGAAGGACTTCCCACAGTCATTACAAATATAGGGTTTCTCCCCAGTGTGCGTTCTCTGATGTACAGTGAGGGTTGTTTTTTGGATAAATGCCTTGCCACACTCATTACACTGATAGGGTTTCTCCCCAGTGTGAGTTCGCTGGTGATCGACAAGATAGGACTTCTTCCTAAAGGCACTTCCACACTGACTACATTCATAGGCTTTTTCCCCTGTATGTGTTTTGTGATGTCTCGTGAGGGTTGCCTTCTGACGGAACGACTTCCCACAATCAATGCAAAGATAGGGTTTCCCCTCTATATGGGTCTTCTCATGAAGAGTGAGGGCTGTCTTCTGTCTGAAAGCCTTTTCACACTGATTGCAAACATAGGGTTTTTCGCCTGTGTGAATACGCTGATGTTCAATGAGGTATGACTTCCTTCTAAAGCTGTTCCCACAGTAAGGACATTGAAAGGGTTTATCTTCTGTTTGAGACCTCTGTTGTACAAGAAAGCCAGACTTCCTACAGAGCAATTTGTTGTATGGAGAGGACTTCTTTTCCATAAGATGATGCAAATGGCCACTTAGATTTGACTTTTCCAGGAAGGCAATTCCATCTTTATTGTACTCAGAGGTTCTTTCTCCTTGATGAACTCTTATGTGTGCAAACAACACTCTTTTCATGAAGAAGGATTTGTTACATTCATTACATTCAAATGGTGGCTCTGCAGTTTGCACCTTTTGATGTTGAGCAATCTCCTGCTTTCCACTGAGGTCCTTCTCTGTTGATTTGTGGAGATTCACTGTGCGATGAACTTTCTCGTGTTTGGTACTGAGGACTGATTTCTCCCATCCGTTACTCTCACCAAGCTTCTCTCTTACAGGGTTTAGATTTCTAATAAACTCTGAAATGTTTTTCAAAAATTTTCTATCAGGTTTATAGTCACAGAGCGCTTTTGAAGTAATGTGGTTCTTGCTTAGACAAAGGCCTTTTCCATAAATATTTCTCTCTTTAATTAATTTTTTGTGATTGATAAATACAATAGATCTGGAATGTTTGCCTTGATATTTTTTGAGTTCCACTAAAACATCTTCAGCATTCTCATCTTCTAGGGAAAAAGATACAATTAAGATTACTATAAACTTTTATGTTAGGCTATGGATTGGATGTATATGCCAAGAACTCCCTGTTTTGATGTTGTAGTGTAGGAAAAGAATAGAATTCATTACCTTTTGATCTGGAAAAGGTACAAAACATAAACACAGGTTAGAAATATGGCTTAGTGGCAAAGTGTTTGCCTAGAATGCATGAGGCCCTGGGTTCAATTCCTCAGTACCACATAAATGAAAATTTAAAAAAAAATTTGAATCCATAAACACAATTCCTGCTACCATTCAAATGAGGAGAAATAGCATAAGAAAACTTGGCTGTGGGGCTGGGAAGGTGGCTCATTGGTACAATGCTTGCCTTGCATGTATGAGGCCGTGGGTTTGATTCCTCAGCACCACATAAGCAAAAAGAAAAAAGCCAGAAGTGGTGCTGTGGCTCAAGTGGTAGAGCACTAGCCTTGAGCTGAAGAGCTGAGGGACAGCACCCAAGCCCAGAGTTCAGGCCCCACGACCGGACCCAAAAAAAAAAAAAAAGAAAGAAAACTTGGCTGTCAAGCCGGGCGCCGGTGGTTCATGCCTTTAATCCTAGCTACTCAGGAGGCTGAGATCTGAGGATCGCAGTTCAAAGCCAGCCTGGGCAGGAAAGTTCGTGAGACACTTATTTCCAATAAACCACTCGAAAACCGGAAGTGGTGCTGTGGCTAAAGTGGTAGAGCGCTTGCTTTGAGCTGAAGAGCTGAGGGACAGTGCCCAAGCCCAAAGTCCAAGCCCCCCGACCGACAAAAAAAAAAAGAAAAGAAAAAACTTGGTATGTTGTAACTGAGCTGGATACAGAGGGTAATGCAGGGATACATGAGCAGGAGACAAATCGTGGAAGAGGGATTTTTCTTGGAATAAGAATCAGATAATGAAGTAAACCACTAAAGAGTACTAGACAGGAGCATTGTAACAAGTATAACTATTAGGCTGAGGTGAAAACCTATACATGTGTGCTTCCCTGCTTGCTGTACCTCATACTCACTGTTCCCAGAAAAGCAACGCTAGCCCCAACCTTCCTAGAAAATGCATAGAAGCAGCATGTGTGACACTTCCCTGAACTCTGCCTCATGTGCTTTTTCTCTTGGCTGATTTTCACCTTTCTCTATAGTATTCAGCAACTGTGACCACAGCAGCATTTGGTGGGTTCATTTAAGTTATGGAACCTATGGTTGGTCCTGAACTCTTATACGGTGTGAGAAGTTAGAGATCTGTGTGGATTACAGCACCCTTTAGCTTCTTAGCTAGCTAACAGAACAGGGATCTGTAAGTAACATGTAGAATTTGTCACATGATAAAACTTCTGGTAGGGGAAGAAGTAACAATGTTCTATAAGAAATGTAGTCATGGCGGGGCTGGGAAGGTGGCTCAGTGGTAGAGCGCTTGCCTTGCATGCATGAGGCCCTGGGTTCGATTCCTCAGCACCACATAAGCAAAAAGAAAAAAGCCGGAAGTGGCGCTGTGGCTCAAGTGGTAGAGCACTAGCCTTGAGCTGAAGAGCTGAGGGACAGTGCCCAAGCCCAGAGTTCAGGCCCCACAACTGGACCCAAAAAAAAAAGAAAAAAAAGAAATGTAGTCATGGGGTGGGAGGGGTGGGGGGAGGTTGGGAAGGGATGGGAAGGGTTAACAAAGGAGGAAGCTACAATGCTTGATAAGAAATGTTCTCATTATCTTGCCCGTGTAATTGTAACCCCTCTGTACAGTATTTTCACAATAAAAAAAAAAGAAATGTAGTCATGGACTGGGAAATTGGCTCAGTGGTAGAGCACTTGCCTTGCATGCATGAGGCCCTGGGTTCGATTCCTCAGCACCACAGCAAAAAGAAAAAAGCTGCAAGTGGCGCTGTGGCTCTAATGGTAGAGTGCTAGCCTTGAGCTGGAGAGCTGAGGGACAGTGCCCAGGCCCAGAGTTCAGCCCCCAAGACTTGACAAAAAAAAAAAAGAAAGAAGAAAAAAGTGCTCATTACCTTACTTATGTAACAGTAACCCCTCTGACATCACCCTTACAATAAAGTAAAATAAAAATTTAAAAATTTGGTAGTAAGGAACAAAACATTACAGTGCCATTTGATCAAATAGATAGCAAGCTGGGTGCTGGTGGCTCACACCTGTAATCCTAGCCACTCAGGAGGCTGAGATTTGAGGATCATAGTTCAAAGCCAGCCCAGGCAATAAAGTCCATGAGACTCTTATGTCCAATTAACCATCAGAAAACCAGAAGTGGTGCTATGGCTCAAGTGGTAGAATGCTTGCCTTGAACAGAAGAGCTCAGGGACAGCGCCAAGCCCAGAGGTCAAGCCCCATGTCAAAAAAAAAAGATTATGAGAATGAAAGAATAAAAAGCAAATGAGTAAAGATCTTTTTATTTTCCAGTGGTATTGGGGTTTAAACTCAGGACTTAGGACTTAGCTTTCCAGGCAGGTACTCCAGCACTTAAACAATGCTCTCAGCCCCTTTTTATCCAGGACAATCTGGACCTTGATCTTCCTCTTTAAGCTACCCACCATAGCTAGAATAACGATGTGTACTATATACTAAGATTTTTATCGTATAGTGGAGGGTAGGAGTGGCCTCATGAATATTTTGCCTGTGCTGGCCTAGAACATCAATCTTCTTTCTGAATAGCTAGTACTATATTATAAATGTGAGCCACCATGCCTGGCAATTCTTTTTTTTGCGGGGGAAGGGGGTCCAGTTAAGGGCCTGAACTCTGGGCCTGGGTGCTGTCCCTCAGCTCTTCAGCTCAAGGCTAGCGCTCTACCACTTGAGCCACAGTGCCACTTCTGGCTTTTTCTTTTTGCTTATGCGGTGCTGGGGAATCGAACCCAGGGCCTCAGGCATGCAAGGCAAGCGCTCTATCACTGAACCACCTTCCCAGCCCTGCCTGGCAATTCTTGTAAGCTAGTAGAGTAGGATAAATGGGCTGAATTGTCTACTTGCATTTATGCTTCACACAAAGCAAGTTGTAATTACAACTAAAGAATGGATCAGGGGCGGGGAAGGTAGCTCAATGGTAGAGTGCTTACCTCTCATGCATGAGGCCCTGGGTTCAATTCCTCAGCACCTCATAAACAGAAAAAGCCGGAAGTGGCACTGTGGCTCACGTGGTAGAGCGTTAGCCTTGAGCTGTAGAGCTCAAGGACAGCGCCCAGGCCCAGAGTTCAAGCCCCATGACCCACAAAAAAAGAGAGGAGAAAAAAAAAAAAGGATCAGATTATTGTGGTTCTCAGTACAAGAACTGAGACTGACAAAGCTCCTTTTAGGACACATCAGAAAGGTGCCTGCAAATGCCTAGTTCAAACTTTACTAATGATAAAAAAAAAAAAGGGGGGGGGGCTGGGAAGGTGGCTCAGTGGTAGAGTGCTTGCCTTGCATGCATAAGGCCCTGGGTTCGATTCCTCAGCACCACATAAGCAGAAAAAGCTGGAAGTGGTGCTGTGGCTCAAGTGGTAGAGCACTAGCCTTGAGCTGAAGAGCTGAGGGACAGTGCCCAGGCCCAGAGTTCAGGCACCATGACTGGCAAAAAAAAAAAAAAAAACACCTCAGGAGATCTGTAAAAGCATTCAAAGGTGCCAACTACCTGAGAGTTTATTCCACTGGAATTTTATCTGTACAGACTCACCTCCATAGTTCTGACTTGGAAAAATTCTCTGTGTCCACAGCTCTCCTCCTTGTTCCAACTTGCGGATCATATCGGGCTTAGCTATATGAAATCCTGACAACGAAAAATCAGATTTGATCTAAGCTGTATGGCCTTCAAACTGTTGAAGAGAAAAATATGGTTTCAAAGGAGGCCGAGATCTGAGGATTGTGGTTCCAAGCTAGCCCATGAGATTCTTTTTTTTTTTACATTTTTTGGGGGGTCCAGTCGTGGGGCCTGAACTCTGGGCCTGGGCGCTGTCCCTCAGCTCTTCAGCTCAAGGCTAGCACTCTACCACTTGAGCCACAGCATCACTTCCAGCTTTTTTTTTTTCTTTTTGCTTATGTGGTGCTGAGGAATCGAACCGAGGGCCTCAGGCATGCAAGGCAAGCGCTCTACCACTGAGCCAACTTCCCAGCCCACCCATGAGATTCTTAGGTCTAATTAACCAGCAAAAAGCCAGAAATAGAACTGTGACTCAATTGGTCAAGTGCCACTCTTGAAAGAAAATGTTAAGGGACAGTGCCCAGGCCCTGAGTTCATTCACATATTTATATTCACATATACATGTATTCACACACACACACACACACACTACAATTTCAAGATGGCAGATGTCATACACAGTAACATCTTACCAGAGTCAGTACTCTGTAGTAGACAAGAAAGGATATAATTATATTTTGTTAATAAAAAGAGATCTTTTATCTTTCATCTCTGAAAGTTCTGTATGTTTTAGGAATCACTGTATCTCTTAGGATATATATGACATTGATAGATTTAAGGAGTGTTTCCTTACCCACAGAAATGAAGTGGCAATAATTTTCCAACATCACATCCCTATAGAGGGCTTTCTGTGCATGGTCCAGCTGCTGCCACTCCTCCGCCGTGAAGTCCACAGTGACATCCTTGAATGACACTGGTCCCTGTAAGGGCATACTCTAGTTCATCCTGAAGTGATCGGAAATGGGTGAGAACTAAATATTGAAGGCCTGTTCTGACCAAGTTTACTGGTCACACTAGTTTTCTTACTTTGTGTTTTTTTAATCCTTGAAAATGCATTATCAGTATTTACTTATTACCTCATGCTAAACATATCAACTGAAATTACATATTTGTTCTGATGTATCTGGTTTATGGAGGATCAAAACCAGTTAAACCTTTATTCTGCTCATAAGAAGTTAGAGGCTAGGAGAGAGGCATACATGGAAATACATGCACCGTAGACATTACAGATGCAATGAAAGAAATATATACATGGGAAAATGTCACAATGCAAAGAAGAAAAAAAATTTTATTTTGGTCTCCAAGGCTTTGTTGAGGATATAAGGTTTTGTACTCACAACAGATTTGTTTTGTAGGAATACAGGGCATCAGCTTTTAAAAGTTCACGGGGAGAAGAAAACCAGTTAGTAAATTCAGGAAATAACTAAAGGCACAGTAGGGAACAGTCTCTGAACTCTATCAAGGAAAAGCAGTATGAAATTACACTGGATTATCTTCCTTCAAAGCACTGGGTCTCAGAATGGACTAAGTACATTTCCAACATATTCACAATTATGAATTGTTAGTAGTCGTTAGAAAAAAGCTCAAGGACAGCAGCCAGGCCATGAGTTCAAGTCCCAGGACTGGGACATAAACAATATGTAAATACTGCCTATAATCAGAAGGTGCACTTGGGGGAAGGCTTAAATGGAGAAACTGAGAATGGGGTTTGGAACAGGTAAGGTAGGAAGGCACTGAGCACAAAATTTTGGAACACACCATCCCAAGAGTTGTTAAATATTGTGCCTTATGGATATCTTACCCCAATCCAGGACCTCACTGAAGACCAATGCCAATTATCCAGGCAGTTTAGGTGACATTGCTGAACAAATGTTTCCTGTGATCCTATTTCCTAAAACAGGAAATACCTCACCTTCGGCATGGCTTGGACAACAGGAGATGATCCTTGTCTTTTGAGCTCTTCTTTCAAAAAAGAGAAATGTCCTACAAAGGCAAAGCACAAGGAGCCATGAGAGAACAATACTAGTTACTTTTCCTAGAGTAACTCAGTTAAATTTGTATTATCACTACTCTTTTCCTGTATATAAATCCAGGATACATGTTAGTGGGAAAATGGACAAGTCCTGCTCTCTTCTAACCAGAAACCTAGTTTCTTGCTGAGGCAGAATAGGTTTCTGTGGAATCTGTTGAAACTTAGAAAGGAAATTTTGTGTTTTGTTTTGAATTCCCCAGGTCTAATTTATTTATTTTTTTTTGTTTTTTGTTTTTTTGGGTCCGGTCATGGGGCCTGAACTCTGGGCCTGGGCACTGTCCCTCAGCTCTTCAGCTCAAGGCTAGCACTCTACCACTTGAGCTACAGCCCCACTTCCCGGCTTTTTTTCTTTTTGCTTATGTGGTGCTGAGGAATCGAACCCAGGGCCTCATGCATGCAAGGCAAGCGCTCTACCACTGAGCCACCTTCCCAGCCCTCTAATTTATTTATATATTTACTTTATTTATTTGGTCATGAAGCTTGACCTCTGGGCCTGGGCACTGTCCCTGCATTTGTTACTCAAGGCCAGCACTCTACCACTTGAGCCATAGTGCCACTTTTGGTTTTCAAGGGGTTTATTGGAGATAAGAGTCTAAGGGAGGGGCTGGGAAGGTGGCTCAGTGGTAGAGTGCTTGCCTTGCATGCCTGAGGCCCTGGGTTCGATTCCTCAGCACCACATAAGCAAAAAGAAAAAAGCCGGAAGTGGCACTGTGGCTCAAGTGGTAGAGCGCTAGCCTTGAGCTGAAGAGCTGAGGGACAGCGCCCAGGCCCAGAGTCAGGCCCACGACCGGACCCAAAAAAAAAAAAAAAAGAGTCTAAGGGATTTTGCTGCCCAGGTTGTCTTTGAACCGCTATCCTCAGATCTCAGCTTCCTGAGTAGCTAGGATTACAGGCATGGGCTACCGGTGTCCAGCTCACAAGTCTAATTTCTATCTTCCCTAGAACACAAGAATCTTTCAAGTTGTTTTTAGTCTGTCAATTTATTGTCAGCCTGAAGTTCATGATATTAACAAATACAGTTGAAATTTTCAATTTTCTATGGGGCTTGAATTCAGGGCCTGGGTACTGCCCTGAGCTCTTTTGCTCAAGGCTAGTGCTCTACCACTTTGAGCCACAGCATCACTTCTTGTTTTTGAGTGGTTAATAGTTATCGGAGATGAGTCTCACAGGGGACTTTCCTGCCCCAGCTGGCTTTGACACGTGATCTTCAGATCTCAGCCTCCTAAGTAGCTAGAATAACAGATGTGAGCCACTGGTATCCAGCTTAGTTGAAATCTTTGCCCATCAAATGAAATTTTGTAGTTCTAAAGTATATAATTATTATGAATGGAGAATAAGCTTCCATCAGTAAATTTAAAGACATCCCTTATTCTTTTCTATAATAGCATCTCCTTATAGTATATAGTGTAGTTCTATTCTCACAGATTTTTTTTTTTTTTTTGCTGGTCGTGGGGCCTGAACTCTGGGCGTGGGCGTTGTCCCTCAGCTCTTCAGCTCAAGGCTAGCACCCTACCTCTTGAGCCACAGCACCACTTCCAGCTTTTTCTGCTTATGTGGTGCTAAGGAATGGAACCCAGGGCCTCATGCATGCAAGGCAAGCACTCTACCACTGAGCCATCTTCCCAGCCCACAGATTTTTTTTTTTTAATTTCCTAAATTGACACTCCCTTCTGTTCCTCCCACCCAGGTGCCTAGGATCAAACCCAGTGTTGTCCATGCTAAGCAAAACATTCTATCAGTGAACTAAATCTTTTTTTTTTTTTTTTTGAGTCCGGTCGTGGGGCCTGAACTCTGGGTGTGGGCGCTGTCCCTCAGCTCCTCAGCTCAAGGCTAGGGCTCTACCACTTGAGCCACAGCACCACTTCCGGTTTTTTTCTTTTTGCTTATGTGGTGCTGAGGAATGGAACCCAGGGCCTCAGGCATGCAAAGCAAGTGCTCTACCACTGAGCCACCTTCCCAGCCTGAACTAAATCTTTGTATTCAGACTCTTCCTGCTCCTCCTCCTCACCCTTCCTCCGTCTCCCTCTGTCCTCTTCTTTGTGCCAGTTCTGGGGCTTGAACTCAGGCCCTGAGTGCTTACCTTAGCATTTTCACTCCAGGCTGCATTCTACTGGAATCACATCTCCATTTCCAGCTTTTTGTTAGGTAACTGGAGATAAGCATATCATGGACTTTCTCCTTAGGCTGCTTTGAAACTTTGTTCCTCAGATCTCAGCCTCCTGAGTAGCTAAGGTTACAAGCATGAGCCATTGGCATTCAGCTCAAATACTTTTTTTTTTTTTTTTTTGTCGGTCGTGGGGCTTGAACTCTGGGCCTGGGTGCTGTCCCTCAGCTCTTCAGCTCAAGGCGAGCGCTCTACCACTTGAGCTACAGCGCCACTTCCGGTTTTCTGGTGGTTTATTGGAGATAGGAGTCTCAAGGTCTCTCCTGCCCGGGCTGGCTTTGAACCTCGATTCTCAGATCTCAGCCTCCTGAGTAGCTAGGATTACAGGCGTGAGCCACCAGCGCCCGTCTCAAATACTTTTCAAGCTTAGAATTTTCAAGAGGAAAATTCACTTACATAGAAAGTGTTGAAAGTAGTAATGAGAGCTGGGGATGTAGCTCAAGTGGCATGAGACCCTGAAGTCAAATTCCCCACCACAAAGAATGTGGTGGTTGTGATTTTTAAAAAAATCAGTTTTTCTTGCCTTTCCTCAAGGAACACAGTGTATTTCCTATGCATTGTTTTTAGTTAGCATGGCATCACCAACTGGGTATTACGTAAATTCCTATTCAGTATTTATATTCCTATTTCATTTGCTACATTATGATTTAAATCTTTTGAGGTAAATTTAACGACAAGCTTCTGCTCATCAATCACTTAAATATTTATGTCACCAGTCATTAAAAAACTTCACATATGACAAGACAAAAACACGTGCAGTTATATTCATTCAGAACTTTAAGTCATACCCGTCATGTTTCACTCAGAACTAGAGCAAGCATACTATACAATTCTAGGCAAAATCAATCACATTCATAAATCACTTTATTTCCTCCACCTTATTTTTATTAGCATGGATTAGTAGTTGTACAAGTGAGTTTCCTTTTGGCATACCGATGTGCATAATATGTACCATGAACAGATCACAAATAAATCACAATCTCAAATATCACTCACAATCTTAAAGTAAGACACACGCAGAGGCTACAGTAGAACAACACGTCCACCTTTCACACAATAGCTGCTACGTCCCAGTGACACACATTCAAAATGCAGCTGGTGTGAATGGGGGTTGGTCAACCCCCAACACACACACACACACTGTTGTGCAGCGACCTGCTCCCAGCGTCAGAGCTTCCACGGGGGAAGGCTCACACAGGTAAAAATCTCCAGGTCAAGGCCACCATCCCCCGGGTCACGCCCACCGACCACGCCCCAGGCCCTGCCTTCTAGCTGAGCGTCTGGGTACCGTCGTCCCAATTACCAGGCCTGGCTGGGAGTCCCGGCTTCCTCCCTCGCCTCCCCATCGGGTACGACGCCCCGAGTCTGTTCTTTGGTTTCTGAGCATCCAGCTCCGTCCTCCGCCTCCTCAGGAGGCCTGGAACCCAACAGCATTGCCGGAGCCCCCGCTGAGCCGTGTGCGCCTGCGCACTCGCGGCCGAGGGGGGCGCTCCCAGGGGTCTTCGCGGCCGCGGCGGCGGACGCGCGTTAATTGCTGCGCGCGAACGCGCGCCGTTGCTCCGGTTTTATCGCGGTCTGCTTAGACTTCGATTGTGTGTGTGCTTTTTTTTTCCCTTAGTCCCCTAAGCCTGCGCATGAAGCGTAGGGTTCACGTTTCTCAGGCCTTGCGGTCACTGTTTTCTGTGTGGTGAGTTAGGGCGGCCCAGGTCCGGGTGGGAAAGGAAGCTCACCGGAGACTCTTCCCCTTCCACTCCCCACGGAGTTCCCGGGACCTGGATAAGGCCTGTGAAAGCGGAAGCCTCGCTTGTCCAGATGTCCGCTCCCGGAGATGGTGCTGGTGATGTGTGAGACTTTGTGACGGGCCCGGTGTGGGGACCCGAGGGTCCTGGGCGAGGAAACAAGCGTGTGGGCGTGGACGCGCCGGTGGGAGGACGCGCCGGTGGGAGGGGCTTGGTTCTGGTTGGATCCCGGGTATACGGGCGGGACCTGAGGCGGGGGTGGGGCAGTTTGGCTGATTCTCATTGGATCCGTGGCCGAGCGGGGGCAGGGACTGTTGTGACGTAAGTGGCTCCGAGCGGTGTTCCGAGGCGAGCCAGTGATCCTGGGACAACGCTGGAGACGGATGCCCGTTGTCTCGCTGTAGCCCCCTCTTCCCTCGAGGTCTCTCTTTTTCTTTTTCTGTGCGGTTGTAGGCCTAGGCGCTACTCCTGAGCGTCTTTGCTGAAGGGTAGCGGCTCTACCACTCGAGCCACAGCTCCCCTTGCGGCTTTTTAAATGTTTTAATTGGAGATGAATCTCAGGGACTCAGCCTCCCGAGTAGCGAGGAAGGATTACAGGCGTGAACCCCGGACGCCTGCTCTGCCCCTCTTTTCTTCCCTTCTCTGTCCTCCTTAATACTACTACCTGACATATGTAAATGTAACCCCGCTGTATATCATCCCTAAAACAGCAATGAGTAAAATTTAAAAAAAATCTTCCTCATTTTTCCTCCTTCATCTTTCCTCCTCCTCCTCCTCCTCCTCCTCCTCCTCCTCCTCCTCCTCCTCCTCCTCCTCCTCCTCCTCCTCCTCCTCCTCCTCCTCCTCCTCCTCCTCCTCCTCCTCCTCCTCCTCCTCCTCCTCCTCCTCCTCCTCCTCCTCCTCCTCCTCCTCCTCCTCCCCCCCCCCCCTCTTTCTCCTCCCTCTTTCTCCTTCCTCTTTCTTCTCCTCCTTGGAACTGCCTACAGCTCTTTTGTTAATCGTAGGAAAGAATCTGGTAGTCTTTCTTCCCAGGGTTGGCTTGGACCAGTGATCCTCGAATCTCAGCCTCCTGAGTAGCTAGGATGACAAGCGTGAGCTACCAGCATCCGCCTTTTGGCTTTTATGATGTAGGGGATTGTCGACCATATTCTAGTCTTCCCCATACTTCAGTCTGGGTATGTTTAACTTCAGCGATGGTTGGTGAAGAAAAGTGTTTTTAATTACTTTGTTGGGGCTTCAAGAAAGGCTAGATGTTTCATTATTCCAATTTTTTTCCTTTTTTTTTGCCAGTCCTGAGTCTTGAACTCTGGGCCTGGACACTGTCCTTGAGCTACTTTTGCTCAAGGCTAGCGCTCTACCGTTTTGAGTGACAATTCCACTTTTGAGGGTTTTTTTGAGTAGTTTATTGGATATGAGAGTCTCCAGGACTTTCCTGCTCGGGCTGGTTTTGAACCAGGATCCTCAGATCTCAGCCTTCTGAGTAGCTAAGATTTCAGGCATGAGCCACAAGTGTCTGGCTAGTATATATATATATATATTTTTTTTTTTTTTTTTGTCGGTTTTGGTACTTGAACTCTGGGCCTGTGCGCTGTCCCTCAGCTCTTCAGCTCAAGGCTAGCGCTCTACCATTTGAGCCACAGTGCCACTTCCGGTTTTCTGAGTGGTTTATTGGAGATGAGTCTCACGGACTTTCTTGCCCTGGCTGGCTTTGAACCGCGATCCTCAGATCTCAGCGTCCTGAGTAGCTAGGATTACAGGTGTGAGCCATCGGGGCCCGGCTTATATGTCTTTATGAATGCTTTTTCCCCTTCTGAATCCTCCATGGATAGCTCCAATTAAGAGCCAATACCTCTTCCTCATAATTTGTGACATGTTGTGAAGGATAGAGCCAAACAAGAGTGTCTACTATTGCTTGTCTATTCTCCAAATAATCTCCAGAACTCCTGTGTTCACACTTCTATCAAGAGCAAATGAATTGCAGGAGTGGGATCCCTACATCCTCCCTTATCATATTCTTTTTTTTTTTTTTTTTTTTTGGGTCCAGTCATGGGCCTGAACTCTGGGCCTGGGCGCTGTCCCTCAGCTCCTCAGCTCAAGGCTAGCACTCTACCACTTCAGCCACAGCGCCACTTCCGGCTTTTTTCTTTTTGCTTATATGGTGCTGAGGAATCGAACCCAGGGCCTCATGCATGCAAGGCAAGCACTCTACCACTGAGCCACCTTCCCAGCCCTCCCTTATCATATTCTTAGAAAAAGAACTGATGGATCTGTTTAATGCCACATTGTCAAACTGAGCTTCTCCACAGCCCTAAGTTTACAGATAGATTGGGTTTGTTATTTACTGTCCTCAAGACATACCAAAGATGGTAAAATGTTGTCTAACCTAAATGCCTAAGGAAGTGGATATAGTTTTAACAGTATATTATTCTGTAATAAAGTTTTCTTCATATTCTTCTTAGATTTAATTAGTTATTTATTTGTGCTGGTTCTGGGGCTTGAACTCCTGGCCTTGGCATTGTTACTGAGATTTTTTGCTTATGGCTAGTCCTTATCCACTTCACCCTCAGCTCCATTTGCAGCTGTGTGTGTGTGGTTAATTGGAGATAGTAGTCTGACAAACCTCCCAGGCTAGCTTTAAATTATGATCTTCAGATCTCAGCTTCCTGAGTACCTAGGATTGCGGGCATGATCCACTGGCACTTGACTTTAGATATTTTCTTGAAAAAGGGGATAAGGGTGTAGAATAATAGTGATATTTCTTTCCATTTGTAAACTGATACATTAACAGATGCATTTGGCTAATTATATAATTCCACAGTATGTAAAAAGATTTCATAGAATCAAATGTATTTTACCACTCTGATGTAACTGGGGTTTGAACTCAGGGTCCTCTCCCTGGTTGGCAACTGCTCTCCATTTGAGCCAAGCCTCTAGCCCTCAGATACATTGCTTCCTTTCCTCTTTCTTTTTCTTTTTCTTTTTTTGTCAGTCCTGGGGCTTGAACTCTGGGCCTGGGTGCTGTCCCTCAGCTCTTCAGCTCAAGGCTAACACTCTACCACTTGAGCCACAGTACCACTTCTGGCTCATTGGTTTTCCTGCCCAGACTAGCTTTGAATTGCAATCCTCAGATCTCAACCTCCTAAGTACTTAGCATTACAGGAGTGAACCAATGACACCTGGCTAGCACCTTTTTATTTATGGTAAAATGTTTGGATTTTATTATAGTTAAGAACAAACACATGGACTATGGACTATGAAATATGGATGTACATTAGCTCCTCTACAAGGTAGAAATGACCAGTTCTACATCTATTGATTTTGACTCACTTTTTGTAGATTAATTCCTGACATTAGTACTTAACCAACATACTTATGTGATAATTGATACCTAAATTTCAAGTCTACTGACTCCATGTTTTCCTATGCCTAAGTAGTATGATTTTGTTACACGGTTACCATTTTCTGAGCTATCTTTTTCTAGATTTCTTATCAGTATTTTACCCAGTCATTTATCTCCTTTGTTGCTCCTTTCTTTCCTAAGTTTTATTTCTGTGACACATTTATGAAGAAGTTGTCTTTCCCTTCTCCCCCCCTCTGCCCCCCCCCCTCCCCCCCCCCCCCTGCCACTAGATTTGGAGTCCAAAAATGAGACCAAGAGTTCATATGTAGGAAGGGTGTCATTGGTCACAGCACTTCTCAGTTGGGAATAATGGAAAGTATCAAATCATTGGCCTGGAAAGCTCCATTTTCAGTGAATGGCAAAGCAAAAGCAAAATTCAAGTTCTAGCACCTGAAGCTAAATGTTTCACTCAAACAAACATCCAGCCTGACAAAGCCCTATCACAAAAATTATAGCTCTCTCACATCACCTCCAAGAAGAAGGCCTGTGAATGTAAGGAACATGAGAATGTTTTCAGTTGGGACTCAAACTTTGATCAATTTCAGAGAACAGTGGTGAGAAAACCTTTGAATACAACCTTTGGGATAGATAATTCACATATACTACAACTGAATATTCACACTGTTGTGAAACCTTCCAAATATATGGGAATATATGATCATTTGTTTAATTTTTGTGAAGATCTTAATGGATACTTGAAAATTCTTCACAGTGGAAGTTCGATAAATCTGAGGAATACAGGAAGATCGTCAGTAGCATTGGAGAATGTTTTCCCAGTCAAAATGCCAATCATGGTGAGAAAGCCTATGAATACATGTTCTATGGGAAATCCTTCAGAATCAAGGCACAACTTGCCTGACATCAGAAATCCACACTGACAAGAAACCCTACAAATGTTCCACTGTGGCAGGGACTTCTGGTTTCATTCACAGCTGACTGGCATCAGAGAGTTCATACTAGTGAAAAATCTAAACACTTGTGAGAGGTATTTAGAATTAGTTCCCAGCTCCTTGAACATGAGTGAATTCTCACACAGTGAGAAGCAGTACACTTGTGCAGAAGGGCTATTGGAACCTGTAGAGAACATGCTTGGCATCAGAGAATTCTCACAGGTAAGAAACCCCATGAATGTAAGTCCTGTGGAAAGGTCTCCAAAAGTAGTTCATCCCAGGGCTGGGAAGGTGGCTCAGTGATAGAGCGCTTGCCTTGCATGCCTGAGGCCCTGGGTTTGATTCCTCAGCACCACATAAGCAAAAAGAAAAAAAGCCGGAAGTGGCGCTGTGGCTGAAGTGGTAGAGTGCTAGCCTTGAGCTGAGGAGCTGAGGGACAGCGCCCAGGCCCAGAGTTCAGGCCCCACGACCGGACCCAAAAAAAACCAAAACAAAACAAAAGTAGTTCATGGTACCACTTGAGCCACAGTGCCACTTCCGGTTTTCTGAGTGGTTTATTGGAGATGAGGCTCACAGACTTTCCTGACCAAGCTGGCTTTGAACCGTGATCCTTAGATCTCAACCTCTTGAATAGCTAGGGATACAAGCGTGAGCCATGGTTCAAGTAATTTAGTGCCATCCATTTTTTTTTAATTATTTTATTGTAAAAGTGATGTACATAGAGGTTACAGTTATATAAGTAAGGTAATGGGTACATTTCTTTCCTTTTTTTATTTTTTTTATTCCCGGTC